TGGGCAATTGCCCAATTGCCCATATGGTTAATCCGGTCTTGGGTTGTAGTCTCACTGATGGAGCCTGATGGTCTCAGTCCTGCTCTGATACAAAGGTCTGGAGACAGGTCCTCAGTGGGTCCACAAACAGATTCAGGTCCATGTTGAATAAAAGTAAATTAAAAAGAACACAGTTATAATATCACACAGTCACATCCAGCAGTCTCATTAATCAGACAGCAAACATTTTTCTACACATATTGGTCACTGAAATCTGAAGGAAGTAGTTTGGTAGTAGTTAAAAATAGATTAACTTAGTTAAACACAGTTTAACTTTGATTTAAGGTGATTCTAATTAAAATCAATGTCCGTGTAGTTCTGACAAAAGCTTTAAAAATGTAGCCAACAAGGTCTTAATAGACAAAACAAAATATAATTAGAGAAAGCTTTTTAAACTCACAGTTAACACCAATTAGGTTTTTGTTCTTTTCAAGCCGTTCTAAATAAACTTCAACTGAACATAAAACATGAGGCTGTTTTTTTCTTTCCTATTATCATCAYGCTAACGCTAACACCATGTTAACAACAACAATCAACGAAGCTYTACTTTCAGCACAGAAACTGTTTAAACACATCCTCTTATAAATACTGACAAGTACTACGTGTACCAAATGTGAAATAAATAATACAAACYACTATTAAAAGTAAAAAGAGTTTAACTTACAGTTGTTTAGGGGTTTGATGGTGGACTTCAGTCCTCCTGCTGGCCGGGTCAGAGCACTGCCGTTATGAGTTTTTGAACTTGCATTTTTTTTTCCATAATGCAGTCGGTTTTATGAATGCATCAGTTTTCTTTTTTGGTTGTTCATCATAAATCCACTAACTACTTTATTGTTGTACTACATGACATGAATGACAAACTGAAAAGCCTCCAAATGCTTTTCCCTTCAGCAAATTGTGCTTATAGAGTTCATCTGGTCCCAAATGAGGCAGCGGTCATGTCCCCCAGTGGTCTGGCTTAGTTACTGTTTGCAATCGATCTTTTTTTAGCCTGGTTTAAACCAGACCCTGTCCTTCACTTTGCTTCGTAGTAGGGTCTGGACTTRATGCATAGAGAATCGTTTCTTGTAGGAGGCGTGGCCTCTGCTGAAGCATGTATGTGTTGTCGCTGTGACGGAGGCTAAGCTAAGAAGCTAACAGGAAATCGAGTGTGCTCTAAACAACCCTACTGAGAGGAGAAATATACTGAGCCGAACGAGACGACTGTAAATGAGAGCTGCTGCTTTGTCAGACAAATTTATTTTAATTTGGAAGCCTTATCAACACAGACTGGCTTCATTCTCTTCCTTCACTGCCGTATGCTAAAATAACTAGCAGACACTGCGCAGAACATCGACGTCATTCAAAAACTCCTCCTTCTATTCTCTGATTGGCCCAGGTAAAATAAACTACAAGCAGACACTGCGCAGAAAATTGACGTWCTSTTCTCTGATTGGCCCGGCTAAAAATCTGCCAGAGAAATCCATCTCAATGGGAGAASTCCCAGACGGAGCAGAGAAGGGAAACTAGAATTGAGCRGAGCTGAGTAGGAAGGCAAGGGTCAGGCTAATCTTTTTGGTGTTCCATGCATAATGTCTTATTTTGACAGGTAAAAGAATTGTACTTGTAAATTTGATTCGTACTTGTAATGTGGCAAAGTTGCAACAAATTTATGTACGTTTATAGTCTTACATGTACAAATTTAGACTCTTACACATACAATAATTCTGACAGTTCTCTTACCCGATAAAAGCATGTGTAGTGCCCACAGTATTCATTTATTGACTAAATATCTTTAAAATATCCAATGTTGTGCACTAGCTATACAGTTCCTTAAATAAATATTCATACACTCTAAACAGTTGCACATTCTGTCACATTACAACCACAAACTTTAAAGTATTTTACTGGGATCAGGACCAGCCCTAGACAAGCTGAACATACAGAACTAAATAGTTCAGTTTTTGATATTTTTTATTTGAAACAGAAAACCAGAAGTCTGCCTCTTACCTGCTGACATCACCAGGAACACCTGTACATGTAGCTGTGAACTGAAGCAGTTCTGGGGATGGGGGGGGGGGGGTGTCCAGGGATTTACTCCCCCAGAAATTTTATCAAAGATCTACTCAAAACTCTGTATTTTCCAACCATTTCAAGAGCATTTTACTAAATTCTTGTGATTAAAACATCATAAAATCAGGATTTTATGAAGGATGAAGATTGAAAATCAGACTTTAACTTCTAAAACTTCTATGATCCTTATTTTGTTTTCTGATTCCACTACATCAAACGATGTAGTATCGTTTGACTACATCAAACGATACTTTTATCATGAAGCATCCTCTGCACCTTATAAGACCTCATGTAGGAACAAAACAGCTGAGMAACACACAGAACAGGTTTAAACCTGAGGAACCAGTGATAATTCTACACATTAAACCAAAACTTGTCTTTGTGGCGCCCCTTAAGGCCCCCACATACTCGGGCGTACTTAGGTCTGCGGAGGTCCGTGCGGACTCGAGGCGACTCAATGCGGACCCGAAGTGGACGTCTGCGACTGGTCCACGCAGCGATCAATTTTTTGCGTCCGCGGTGCGCAAAATGGCATGTACTGTTCTGGGTCTGACACCAAGCTGATAAAGTTGAGAATCTGTTTCATTTGTGGACAAAATGGAGTCAAATCTTGAAAAGCATCTCATGGAGGAGATTAGAAAACTTTTTGACGTGTCAATGAAGGAATATAAAGACTTTCAGCGAGCAACAAATTTGTGGGAGGAAATAGCTCTGATCCTGGGTGAAGTAGTTCTTTTCTTTTTTTCTTTTGTTGTTTTAAATCTAAAATGCAAACTATCTCTTCCTCCTGATCCTTGACATCATGACTGAAATTGCGAGAAATTAAAGAATTTGTCCGGCGGTCAGTACGCTCGAGTATGAAGTCTCAAACATCCAAGGACAATATGCGCAGAGTCCGCGTGGCTCATGGAATGCGCACAGTGTGCCCGAGTATGTGGGAGCCTTTAGATGGATGCGCCCTAAGTGCTGCCTACAGTGCCTATGCCACAGGCCGGCCCTGCTGGGATCATGTGACAGAGCAACACAAGTCGGAGCATGCTCTGAATCTAAGCCAGCACATCAGATTCTGGTGCTTACATACAGAACAAGACACCACTAGACAAAGGCAAGGTGGGGACTGCAACTTTCCAGTCCCAAGCCAGCTGCCCTACCACATACCCTCACACCCCCTCACCTGGCTGTTTGCTGGAGAACGCTGGCGGCAGCTGCTCTCTCCCTGGCGCTCCCTTTGCCGGGCCCGTAGACGAGCCCTCTGCTGCCTCTTCATCAGTTTCCAGTACTCCCTCTTCCTCTGCAGACTGCTCAGACCGCACTGCTCAGCGGCTAAACCACAGGACCTCAGTGCTGACGCCAGCTCRCTGCTCTGGGAGCTGTCCTGAGCTAGACTCTGCTGTCCACAGTGTTGTTGCTGTGGTTCTGAGAGCTCCGAGGACACGACTGGGATGTGATGTAGCTTTGGTGGTTCTGGTTCTGGGGTGCAGCAGTTCTGTTGGCTGGTTTCTTTGCTGCAGAATCTCTGGGTTCTGGGAGGTGAGGTGGGGCCACTGACAGGAGGGGTCAAGGATGAGGGCTCACCGGTAGAATGCACCGCCTCGCTGCAGGCAGGAAGACTCTCACAGATCTGTGGTGAGCYGCTGACTCTGGAGCTTAACAGGTTTTTCTGATCCGATACATCACCAGCAGGCTCCCAGCCTCGTACCTGCAACATTAAATCAGGAGCTGCAGGAGGTGTTTGGCTCTTCTCAGAGAGGAGCTGAGATACGTCAGGCTTCACATCTTGTTCCAGAGTGACTGTACTGGAGTCCATCTGGCTCTGACAGTCTGTAACGGTGCTCAGCGACTCCTCCAGGAGCCTCTTCATTGAGGCCACAGCCAGCAGAGTGGTAACCTGGCTGTCTGAGCTCAGAGCTGGCTCAGGCTCCAGCTGAGGCACTGCAGAAGCAGGAGGTTTGATATCTGGACAGATGGCTTGTTGAGTTATAGAATGTAGGTCAGCTGCTGGCAGAGACCTGCTCTCCTCTTTGACCTGGTCTATAAGTGGCACCGGGGCCATTGTGGTGCTGTTGTTCAGGACAGTTTGTGGATTTCCTGTGCGTTTATTCAGACTTCTGTTCATTTGCAGAACGGTTGCCAGTTCTTGCCGCTGAGCCTTCCTCTTCAGCATGGCTGCGCTGCTTCTTGCTTGTAGGAGACCGTGCCTGACTGGAACAGCCCGAGCTGCTCGCTGCTCACGCTTCTTTATCCTCCAGTACTCCCTCTTCTTCGCCATCCTCTCGTCCTCCGTCAGCGCTGGGTCTTGAAACGACAGAGACGGTGCGTGGCTTGAAACGGCCATTTTCATGACACAGCCGTTTATGTTTGATTCTGGTTTTGATCCTGCGTTGTGGAGCAGCTGAGGCTGAGTGAGGGTGAGCTTATTCACATGGTGGGGATCTAAACGTGGACTTAGAACCGTTGTGATGTTGAGTTGAGACTGTGGTTTGAGTAGGAGTGATCTTGGAGTTTTGTTGTCTGTGAGGTGAAATGAGGGATGTGCAGGTGAAGGTTGGTTTAGCAGCTCAGCACCTCTCCTCCTCAGAGCAGCTCGGTGCTGTTGTATCACAGGGACACTCTTTGGAACTCCAGCTGTGTTGGGATTCTTCAGACCTTTGGGGACGTTAGCCGTCAGTGTCCCGTCCTCTTTGATGAATCCTCCGATGGTCTCGGAAGCAGGATTAGGACCACTTCCTGTTGAATGAGCCAGGGCTCTTGCCTTTCTCATGTCTGCCAGGATTTGCTGGTAACGTTTCACTCTTCGTATCAGAGAGTCTTTCTCCCTTGCCCTCGTTCTCATCTCCAGTGACAGCTTGGCTCGCTGTTCACGCTTTTTAACGCGCCAGTACTCTCGACGCTTGGCTATGATCTGCTCTGGCGTGTCTTTCGGATCAATTTTAGGGATAGCTGTGGTAGGAAACACTGAAGCCATGAAGGGAGATTTGTACCTTAAATTTCTCTGATTCATGAAGTTTTTCTGCAAATCAATCAACCTTTGTCTTGGTGTTTTACATCGAGCGATTCCTCTGGGGAAGGAATGATTCAGGAAACTAAGACTTCTCTGTGGTTCTGCTGACTTTTTGACAGAATTAATATGAAACGCTGTGAAGGCCGTTGGTGCTATTCTGTTCACATAGTTTTGTGCTTTTACCTGATCTATTTGCAGGTTAGCTGCAGCTACAGAGGATAACCCGCTTTGCAGTTTAGCAGTTTCCTGTCTGACAGCTGGAAATGGCACTTTAACCCTGACGGCACATTGCTTCTGACTCAAAACAAGTTGAGATGGAAGACCCGAGCTGGCCACGAGTCCCACCTTGTGTGCTGCTAGCTTGTGAGGAATCACATCTCTGCTCTGTGTTCCTTCTTTGACTTGAGCTAGTTTAGCTCTCTGCTCTCGTTTCTTGATTCGCCAGTGCTCTCTGCGCTTGGCTGCCTTCTCTTCCTCGGACTCCAGTGAAAGCTGTGTACTGCAAAACCCTTCAGCCCTTTGCATGGTGACCAAGGCACTCTTTGTTTGACTTTGAGGTCCCGTCCTGTCTTTTCTCTTACTGGAAACAGGGCTATGTGAAGTCGAAAGCATCAGATCTGAGGCCGTAATGTGACCAGCTGATAGATCCTTGGCCTTGAGTTGGGTTTTGGGGACTAGTTCTCCCTGCATAGATGCACATGGCTGAGGTTCAGTTTTAATTGAGCTGCCGTTTGTAATGCTAGTCACTCTGACTATAGGCCCTGATGAACTGGTGCTTGGTCTGCTTTGACTGGATGTAGGTGTAGTAACCACAGTGCTAACGCTCATCACTGTTGGGCCTTGGATTAAGACTGCACCTCCCTTATCCTCTGGAGCTACAACTGGACATGACGTTGGCTGCAAGTTACACAGGACTGTGTTAACATTTTTGGTCTCTAGCCAGTCTTCCTTTTGACTTGCAGCCGAGTCAGATGACCTGTGTTCAGTCTTTGATGTACGATGATACAAGTCATCTTTCTTTTGAAAAGGAGGGGACAATGTAGAGTCTGATAAACTGGCGTTCACCCCTGCAGAAACATAAAGGTACGGGATCTTTTCCTTCTGGATGTCCTGTTGTGGCTTTCCTCTCTGTTCTGACAGCCGGGCCCTCTGCTCTCGCTTCTTGTTCCTCCAATATTCTCTCTTCTGGGCGAGAGTGGCATCATCATACTCAGAGGCTGGTCTGTAGCGATGAAACGTCTGACTTTTACCTTTAGCAGCTGGCATGCTGTTACAAGCTTGGAAAGATGATTAGCTCTCATTTAACAGTAGTGGTGGTTGGTTGTCCCAATGAATCAGCACTGCTTTTCAGTCTTTGTAGCGTTCATCTTCTTTAAGATGCCGTTGAGAAGTTGACATCCCGATGGCAAGACTCCTGAGAGAAAAACAAAAAAATTTAAATTGGATGTTTTTAATTAACTTTGAAATTAATTTGAAAATGCAAAGCTCATAGAGTAAGCTCCAATTTGTCTTTAGCGGAAGATGACAAGACTGATTTAGAAGTGACACAGATTAAGTTCAGTGACAATGATGCGTGATTACCTGCTACAACTCTATGAGGTGTGCTAAATAATTTAAACAAAATACTCATAAGTAGGGCTGCAACTAACGATTATTTTAATAATCGATTAAGCTGCTGATTTTTTTTTTTGATTAATCGATTAATCGGCCAAATCATTGAAACGCTTAATTAAATGAATATGAGTAGATATAAATTAACTCCTTAAAGATGCAAGTTATTGATAATGAATTAATCTGAAGTTGATTTATCTTATAGAGTGATTAACAATTAATTAATAAGCAGCCATTTTTTTAAAAAAACGGAGTTTTCTCTTGAATCAAGTGGGTCTTCCCATAAAATGAAGGATTTTTTTATAATCTCCTGAATTAAAAAACAGAAGCACATAATACATATTTTAACAATTTATTTTGCCAGCTGTATTAAATACTGACTGAAAAAAATGTGTATTTCTTCTACATGAAACATAACAGAAATTTAATAGGTTGCTGAATGAGGAAAATAGATTAAAATAATAAAATATGATTTTTAGAAGTAAAACTATTATTAATTTATTATAATTTGAATTTATTTACGTTTTACATTTTTTTTTTTTTCTCTAATTCTTTACTTTTTGTTTCATTCTTGTTGGTTCTGTTTGACTAAAACATTGTGTGACCCTAGGGCTGCCACAAACGATTATTTTTTATAAACGATTAATCGTTGATTATTTATTCGATTAGTCGACTAATCGGATCATACGTTAATTGAATATAAAACATACAGCTTATTGCGCCAGAATGCAGCTGCAATTATATAAGCATCGTTAGATTTTAGCTATATGCTAACTAAAAATAATTGCTGTGGAAGGTAAGTTCTGCTCTGCAGATATTACACAGGTTTCTCTTTCATTTTCTTAAAATGATCTCACACTTTTGAGCTCTGTTGTCAGGTAGCCATGATACCAGAGCCTGTATGTATAATGTCTTGTGACGTCCACGGCCTACCCCAGTTACCACTACTGTACATGTGTGTCAAGGACAGAAAGGCAGATGTGGCAGTGGAAGAAAAACAAAGTAAAGAACAAGAAAAAAAGAAAACGATTAATCAATTAAATTAGTCATCGATTAATCGTTGCAGCCTTACTCATAAGACAAATATTATTTCTAATAAAAAAACATTCTGAACACTTTATAATCTTCTCTTAAGTGGACCCTGAGATCAGACATTTCACATCTCAGAAAGGCTAAAGACAAACAAAAATACAGCACATCTCAGATTCTACAAACCTGGCCTCACTTAGCGTGTTAAATGTTAAACACTATCATTGTACAGTTCAGAAAAAGACAAGTACAAGAAAAAAGCAACACGGTGCAAACATTGAGCTACAACTGTTAAGCATGGTGATGGAGGGGTTATGATTTGAACTTGCTCTGAAGCTACAGGACCTGGGCTCCTTGCAGTTATTGAGCCAACATAAATAAAAGGTAGACCAACGGACGCTGGAGTCAAATGTGAGTCAGACAGCTGAGGTCTACTGGATCTATTGGGTCAGGAAACAGGACAATGGGCCTCATGCAAGAACCGTTCGTACGCACAGATTTGTTCTTAAGTTGTGCGTACGACTGATTTAGGAGAATTTGTGGCATTCACCAATGTTTTCGTATTCTACGATTTTTTTCAGATACGAACAAAATTCAGGAGTGGTCCAGACCTGTCGTATATTTTACGAACAGTCAGTCTGCTGTTATCCAGACGGTTTTCTTCACTAATAACTTTATATTTCGTTAGTTTGAAGATATTTTGAGTTGAAAATAAATCACACTCCATAATTATGTTGACAATAGGCTATTC